AGAGAAGTGTTGTGGCTGCTAACCACGTGAGTGACTTCCACTGAGATTGGGTGGGGGGAGAGGGCCGGGGAGAATGGGGGGGTTGATGCTCCCTGGGGTTTGAGGGGATTTTTTCCCAGTTTTCTCCCTGACGTGGGAAGGAAGTAATTCCTGATCCTGGTTTTCCTGCAGGTGGGAATGTCTCCCACAGACACACCAGGAGCTCCAGGTGGCAGCAGCTCACGAGCTGCACAGGAAGATTGAGCTGGTGAGAGGCCTAACAACCCCAGCAATGTCCACACTCTGAGCTCACACCCGGCACTTCTCCCCACTCACACTCACCTGCTCACACTCACCCACGCACAGTCACCTGCTCACATTCACCCACGCACATATACTCACCTGCTCACACTCACCTGCTCACACACACTCACTCACACCTACTCATTCAAGCTCACATTCACACCCACTTTCACTCATTCACACACTCACAACTCACTCACTCATTCATGCTCACACAATGAGTCACTCACATTCACTCCCTCTGTCTCTCTCTCTCTCCCTCCTTCTCTCTCCCTCCTGTTCCCGGTGCTGAGGGCCTGGATTTTCTGGGAAACGAGCTGTTGCCGATTAAGGGAAACCAGGAGCAGCTGCGAGCGCTGAGAGCGGAGCTTGTGAGAAGCTCGGAGTCTCAGCCGAACAGTAATGTGTGAGTGAGTTCTTCTCCTGATGCTGTAATAACTGTTTATTACTAGTTTCTGGTGTTTATTGTCACTCCTGTTACCCGCGGGGCTCAGACTCTCACTGACTGTTTCACAGAGTCGCAAAAATCCAGGTTTTACTGCAGAAAATCTCAGCCATTTACACCCAGTTCAAGAGGAACCGAATCAAAATGAGTAAGTGTGCATTTCTGGAAGGACTTGTGCCTGTGGAGCTCACTATGTGTGTGTGTGTGTGTCGCTCTGTTTGTGTGTGTGTGTGTTCATAGTCTTTGTGTGTCCCTCTGTGTTTATACAGCTCTGTCTGACACTGTGTGTGTTCACAGTCACTGTGTGTGTACAGCTCTGCATGACACTCTGTGTGCATGTTCAGTCTCTGTGTCGCTCTGTGTGTCTGTACAGCTGTGTGACTGATGCTGTGTGTGTGTGTTCAGTCGCTGTGTATACAGCTCAGTGTGACTGACACTGCATGTACATGTGTTCAAAGGCGCTGTGTGTGTGTTCACAGTTGCTGTGTGACACGATGTGTGTGTACAGCTCTGTGTATGTGTGTGTGTTCAGTCACTGTGTGACGCGGTGTGTGTGTACAGCTCTGTGTGTGTGACACTCTGTGTGTGTGTGTTCACAGTCGCTGGGTGACGCTGTGTGTGTGTTTTCAGGGCTTCAGTACAATGAGGAGCAGATTCACAAGTTTGACAAGTGAGTGACACGTCTCCACATTTGGACGATTTAATCCCATCAATGTTCCCCGTCGTCTCCTCGTCTCCAGCCCCCGGGGCCGGGCCTCACTGACACTGTCCTGTTTCAGGGTCAAAATGGGAATTTACGCCAAGAAAGTGCAGGCGTTATTCCGGGAGGATTGTGTGCAGGCACGACACAGGAGCTTGTTGGTCACCGGCAACCGGTTGAGGTGAGAGGCCAGGGTTCGGGGGGGAGCTGGGTAATATGTGGTGGGGGGCCTCGGGAGGGGGGCTGGGTAGTGAGGGGGATCTTGGGGGGGGCTGGGTAGTGGGGGGGTCTTGGGGGGCTGGGTAGTGTGGGGTGGTTGTGTCAATCAGATCACTAACCCCTGGCTCTTGTGCAGGACGCTGTGTGAGATCTGGAAGAGACTTCGGGGCACAGATGAGCAGCGCGTGAGTCTCTCACAACAGGCAGACATTTACCAGGCTCAACTCAACAAGGTACCCATCACCCCCACCCCCCCACCCACCCCCAGCAGTGTGTGAACAGTCACAGTGACCTGTGTGTTTACCCCCACAGATGCTGGCTGCGGCTGGGGCTGGGGTCCCATCTCTGAGCTGCACCGGGGGTGACACACAGACAATGAGCTCCTCCCCAGCCTCTGTCCATCTGGCTGACAGGAAATGTGTGGAGATGACGAGCAGGTAGTTGCACACCTTCGGGGGGAGGGTATGGGGGTGAGGCTGGGCTGGGGCCGGGGTCTGGGTTGGGAGGGAAGGATTGGGGGCAGGACTTGCTTGGGAGTGGGGCTGGATTTGGGGGGGGGGCTGGGTGGGTGGTGAGGATGGGGTTGGGCAGGGTTGTGTTGGGGGAATGGGGCTGGGTTTGGGGGGGCCTGGGTGGGTCTGCAGTCTCTGTACTGGCCACACTGAGCTGGAGCCTGTTATATCCACAGGATGAAACAACTGAAGCAGGAAATGGAGACAGTAACGCTGGAACTTCAGCAAAACAATATCATCATCCAAAGGTGATCAGTCACTGGGGGGAGGGAAACCTCCCACTCAGCTCCTGGGGGGAGGGAATCTTCCCACTCAGCTCCTGTTAACCCTGGAAGCCAAAGCCCAAATGGGTTGGGTGGTCTTAGCTGGACAAGCAGCGGGAAAGCTTGTCTGACAGTGATACCAATGGCAAGCTACTACAACAACAACTTGCATTTATATAGCGCCCCCTCATGCAGGGTAGCGTCCCAGAGCGCTTGGTGGTTTTAACTGGTTAGACTCCAGTGGTTACCACACTCAGGGGTCTCCAAGCCTTGGCTCTTGACCAAGCTGCGCCTAGTACTTCCTGGAATTGTGTGTGTAACCGTGTGGTGACTGTGCTATTTGCTGGCAGAATCGGGGAGCTGACCAAAGCCGCGGATGTTTGACACTGGACTGCGCTGGTCTCAGGGAGTTACTGTCCGTCAGCGGAGACAGCCTCACGGTACAGACCCGAACCGCATCATCTTCAAACCATCCCCATCCTGACCCCCACCCCTTGGAGCCAGGGCGCTGGGCCAGTGTATACACCGGCCATGGGTGGGGTGTTGAGGTGTGTGGGGGGAGAAGGGGGTGGTGGGCGGGGGGAGAGACTAGGAGAATTTTCCAGCTTTGTGGCAGCCAGGAGAGAGATGATGAATTGTAAAGTATCTGGACAACAAATCTGTGAATCTCTTATTAAAGTGAACTGTGTAACCAATGGGATTCTGTGCTTTTGTTTGGATAGTGGATGGGGGGGGTGCTGACAGGCGGGGATTGGGGCTGGGTGTTGGGGGGATTGCTGGGTTTTGGGGGGGTTGCTGGGTGTTGGGGGGGTGTTGGGGGTTTGCTGGGTGGGGGCTGGGGCTGGGTGTTGGGGCGGGGCTGGGAGGGGTGCTGGCGATCGCAGCACAGTTTGTAGGTTTACGGTTTGAGACGTCCTCCCAATGTGAGAGGATCTGCACGGTATCAAACACCAGGACCATTTGACCATCAGGGATTGGCCTCTCGGACGGCGAAGGCAAAGATAGACTTGAGGTCCCATCGCTCAGGGCAGCAGCAGTGGGGCTGTTATACCGCTTGTGCCCACAGTGTGGCACTCTTTCTCTACGCCTTGACAGACAGCGAAGGGCTCACAGGCCGTTTGCAACGTGTTTTATTGCCTCTCAAGAGTTTACGGTCTGCGTCGCTCTGTCCACACCTCTCCCACAATTACCTGCACAGCAGTGAGATCAGAACCTTCCGGCTCAGAGGCAGGTCATTTGGCCCAACAACGCTGCGTTTCTAAACTTGTCTCCGGTCTCTCTCTTCCCCACAACCTTTCATGTTCCTCCTTTTTAAGCATTTATCCAATTCCGCTTAAAGACAATTAATAAATTTTGTTTCTGCAGGAGGTTGTGACGGAGATTTTCCACATCCCACCCCCGCCCGCCGTGTGTGTAAACATTTGGGATGAGATGTTAAACCCAGGGCCCTCATCGTCAAAGATCTTGGAAAAAGAAGGGAGTTTCTCTCTCTCTCTCTCTCCCTCCCCACCACCTCCAGTGTCCTGGCCAACAGTAACCCCACCCCCAGATAAATTGATCATTAATTTTGTTGGCTGTTTGTAGGACACGACTGTGTGCAAATTATTTGATGACAAATAAACAGTCACTACACTTGACAGCAAATCTCTGTGAACTGCTTTGAGGCATTTTAATAATAATAATAATAATAACAATCCTGGCATTTGATACAGAGCCTTATCACGTCGTTGAGACGTCTCAAAACGCTTCACGGAATTATACTTTGGAGTGACTTGGGGTCTGTCGGCAAAACTACATTCGGACGTTTTAGGCGCAGTATCAAATGTTAGAATTGTTTGGTCGGAATTTCACTCACACACTCACTTACACACAACTCACTCACACACACAACTCACACACTCACTCACACACAACTCACTCACACACACACACACACACAACTCACACACAACTCACTCACACACACACACAACTCACACACACACAACTCACACACTCACACACAACTCACACACACACTCACACACACAACTCACTCACACACAACTCACACACAAACTCACACACTCACTCACACACAACTCACACACTCACTCACACACAACTCACACACACAACTCACACACAACTCACACACACACACAACTCACTCACACACACAACTCACACACAAACACACCCCCCCACACCCCTCCCTCATTGCTGACTGATCACATCCTGGAGGCACAGGCGGTTACTGGGTCACATGCTGTTGGCTGTTGGCTATTTGCTGAGTTGGGAAGAAAGAGAGAGTTTGAGAAGTTGAGGCCTCGGTTTGAGAGTGAGTGAGAGAGTGAGAGAGTGAGTGAGAGTTGCAGTGTTGACCCTCTGTGTCTGTGTCTCAGATCCACAATCGATCCCTTTTTACAGAAGACAAACCCCAGAACTCGGCTCCAGTGACGGGAAATGGAGATCGCGGCAAAGGTCTGAGAGCCGAACTGAGAGCCAAAGCGCTTCGGTTACAGCGAAAACAGAGGCGTTTTGTACAGTAACTGGAGTTGTAATTACAGATCACTTCGGGGTTTAAGATGAACCTGGAGCCGCTCCGGGAGCCGCTGGGGTTCATCAAGGTGTTGGAGTGGGTAAGTCGGGGCCGCGACACTGCGCCTCAACGCCAACACTCCGCAAACTACTGCCATTACTGACTGTCCCTCTCCCCAACTTCACAGCCCCCGCCGCTCCCCCCCCGAACCCCCCTCACACAGACACCCCCCCCCACACCCCCCCTCTCCACCCCCCCTCACACAGACACCCCCCACTCTCCACCCCCCCCACACAGACACCCCCTCACACACACACACACCCTCTACACCCCCCCCACACCCCCCTCTCCACCCCCCCCACACAGACACTCCCTCACACACACACCCCTCTACACCCCCCCCCCACACCCCCCCTCTCCACCCCCCCCACACAGACACCCCCCCCACACCCCCCCTCCACCCCCCCCACACAGACACTCCCCTCACACACACACCCTCTACACCCCCCCCACCCCCCCATACCCCCACACTCCCCCCCCACCCCCACCCCCATACCCCCACACTCCCCCCTCTGCCGACAGCCGCTGTACAGCTGTACGTGGGGTTTGTGCTTTTTTTGTATTTTTTAAAAGACGTTTAAAATGTCTAAAATCCAAACAACAGAGGAAACGTTTCCACCGGAACCCGACACCCAAACCGGGGGCAGAGTGTCTGGGGAGAGGCTGCGAGTGTACAGTGGGTGTTGGAGAGGCCATAGGTCTGAACCTCACCCTCACAGGAGCTCCACACCCACCAGTAATCGAAATACTCATTGCATTTGGTATAACGCCTTATCTCCACTTGTCAGTCGATTGGCAGATCGCTTTCTGGGGTAATAATACCTTTTTTTAAAAAAAATTGGGTCACTCAATCCTCGACTGTGTGTGGAACGCTGCTGTGCGCAATTGGCTGCCGCGTTTCACCCACCAAATCCACAGTCACTACACTTTACATTATATTTTGTGAAGCGCTTTGAGGCCTCTCAACAACGTGTTGAATGTAAGGGTTATTATTTTTGAACTAAAAGCCCGGCCTCATTAACAGTGAGACATACTGTACTGACAGCATGGAGCAGAGAGCTCCAGTGGGGGAGCGAGCACCAGCACAGACATGATGCGGAGAGCGAGCAGGGAAGGGGTGTGTGGTGACTGTGCACTTCCCTTTGGTGGTGGAACCCAAGGCTCTTGATGCCCTTTGCAGTTTGGAGGGGAAGAAGAAGGTGGAAGGGAGTTTAGGAGATGGGGAGATGTCATGTTTCAATGTGGAGCTGGGGGTGTGGAACCTTTTCAGGTGGGTTTCTTAAGCAGAGGATGGGTTTCTGTGTGTGTCGCACACGTGGCTGGAAACCCCCAGGAGGAAGGGTGGGTGGGAGGAAGGGAGGAGCGGGCTGGGCTGGGCTGGGCTCCCAGTCAGAGGTGCTCTGTCTCCGCTTGTGTTGTTGTTGTCTCTGTGAAACAGGATCCAGCATCGCATCGCGTGATGGTTTTCCTGGGAGCTGATATATCTCTGAGCAGCTGGGCCGAGTGAGGTTCCCTCACAGTCAGTGTTGCACTCACAGGCTAACTATAGCCCTGGCCAGGCCAGTGTTGGTGAATCCTTGATTGCCGTGCATAGTCTCTCTCTCTCATTCACTCTCTCGCTTTAATACAATAATAATAATCCTTGCATTTGACCCATTAGCTTTCTGTCACAGACTGTGCAGTGTAATGACTGTTTTGTAGAACGATTTCTTACCAAATTGCACAATTTCAGTCTCAATTATCGCAGGAGCATTTACACATTCTCGCTCACTGTTGAGAGGTCATTGTGGAGTGAAATCCTCGCTCAGTGTTTGAATTTCTCACTATTTACATATGGTCCTGCCCCTCCCTAACCAGCAAATACCTCAGATTCCAGACTCCAACCTGGCTCACTCTTTACTCAGTCCCTAAGATGCAGAGTAAAGCTCCCTCTACACTCTGCGTCCACACTCCCAGGTCAGTGACAGTGCGGGTTGGAGACCTGCAGACCATGTGTGGTTTGTTAGGGTGATGTGTTTATTTTTCCCTCAGGTTTTTGCCATTTTTGCCTTTGCGACGTGCGGAGGTTACTCGGGACAGAGTGTGGTCAATATGACATGTCCGGAGGTCATACCCTTGGAAACCACTCAAATCGTTGTCAGCTTCAGTTACCCTTTCAGGTGGGTGTTGGCAGCTCGTCTCCCTGTGGAGCGTTCAATTTCTCGAGTGTTTTACTGGTGTATTTATACTGGTGGAGTCCTGTAGCTCAGTGGTTAGAGCACTCAGCTTGCAAGCGAGAGGACCTGGGTTGGATTCCCAGGCAGGTCAGGGCGAAACGTTGAGCAAATTTCCTTACTCCACGCTCCTGTTTACCTAGCAGTAAGCAGGAAACCTGCTTGTTAGTTGATTGGAGGATCACTTTCCGGGGGAAATAATGTCTCAAAAAAATAATAACTTGGTCACTCAATCCACGACTGTGTGTCGGACGCTGCTGTACGCAATTGGCTGTCGCATTTTGGCCACAAAATACACAGTCACTACACTTTACAGTGTATCCTGTGAAGCGCTTTGAGACTTGTCAACAATGTGATGAGGCGCTGTATCAAATGCAAGGATTATTATTAATATATTATTCTCTCATGTGCTGCAGATTAAACAAGATCGCTTACGATGCTCCGGGCTGTATAAACCACACGGAGCCACAGAAGCTCTATCTCCAGGGCGACTTGTCTCCGTCCTCAGAGTTCTTTGTGACGATCGGGGCGTTTGCTTTCCTGTGCAGCCTGGCTGCCCTGGTGCTGTACCTGGGCTACCACAGCACCTACCAGGCCAGCAAGAAGCTGCCCATCGCTGTGAGTGCCTCCTTCACACACGCATAATCATGTGTTAGTGTGTCCTCAAGCATGTGTGTGTATGTGTGTGCGCGTGTGAGTGATCACAGTTGTGTGATTCCGTGCGTGTGTGTGATTCCGTGCGTGCGTATGATTGCGTGAGCGTGATTGCCTGTGTGTGTGTGTGTGCAATTGTGTGAGTGATTGCGTGATTGTGTGCGTGTGTGATTGTGTGTGTGATTGCGTGAGTATGTGATTGCGTGTGCAGGAGCGATTGAGGGAATATATAGCCGGCTCCTTGTGATAATGTGGGGGCTCTCAACGCACACCCCTGCCCGAGGCAGTAACTGATCCCACCCCCACCCCCATCTTCTCCCCCAGGACTTCCTGCTGACTGTGCTGTTTGCCTTCCTGTGGCTGGTGTCCTCCTCAGCCTGGGCCCAGGGCCTGACTGACCTGAAATTCGCCACAGCCCCCAGCAACATCATCAGCTCCATCAACCTGTGTCAGAAACAACTGGACGCCTGTACCCCGGGGCAACTGCCCATCATGGGCCGGCTCAATGCCTCCGTGGTGAGTGAGAGGGGCGGGGTCAGGAAGGGGAAGGGTCTGGTGTGGTGGGGGGCTAGCGAGGGAGGAGGTGGGGCGGGGATTGGGCTGGTGTTCGTGGCAGTCAGGGAGGGTGCGGGGGTATTTGGGGTGGTAAGAGGGGGAGTGGAGATGTTGGGGGTTATTGGCGTGGGTAGGTACGGATGGTGATGGGTGGGGTTTGGGTGCGGGTAGTGAGGGGGAATTGGGATGGTGAGGGTGGGACGGGTATTTGGAGTGGCAAGTTATGGGGGGGAGAGTGTGGGTTGGAGTAGGGGGTAAGGGAGGTTAGGGGGAATGGGGCTGATTACTGACGCGCATCTCTCACCCCCACAGATATTCGGCTTTATGAACGTCATCCTGTGGGTTGGGAACGGCTGGTTTGCTTACAAAGAGACAATCTGGCACAAGCCAACAGAGCAGCAGAGCCCAGAGGAGCCAGGGAACATCACATTGCCCTGAGTGCCTGATCCCGGCCCCTCACTGTAGCCTCGTGCCCCCTATTGCCCCCATCCCCCTCTCCCCCTTCCCCCCCATCCCCTCCCCTCCTATCCCCCTCCCCACTCCCTCCCCTCCTATCCCCCTCTCCTCCTATCCCCCTCTCCCCCTGCTCCACTTCCCTACTCTATTCTACCACATCCATTCATACTCTTCCATTTGATTAGCTGACATGACAGTCTCACTGCGCTGGCGGTGGGGGTGGGGGACTATCCTGGCTAACTGCCCAGGCTCTGGGCGAGTGGGGGTGTCCCAGTGCCTGATACTGAGGGAAACAGGGCTACAATCCTATCGGGTCCCCTCTTTGAAGAGCAGCTGCTGACGGGATGGCTGAGGTTTTCTGCGGATGGTATTCGGAAGAGGGGAGTGTTTGAGCCGGGGGGAGGGTGGGGTGGGGGTAGTGCTTGCGGGGATGATGGGGGTTTGTGGCTGGGGTGCTGTTAAAGGCTGTGGATATTTGTATGAACGGGCCGGGATGGAGGTGCTATCTGCTGTTGTGCTTCGGGGGGAGGAAACAAATGGGGGAGCTAGAATCTTGCGCTGGGGGAGAAACAGATGTCACCATTGGAATATTTCACTGTGATGTTTAGTGTTTCTTTTTGCTGTTGGCCTGACCAACTGGGATGAAATTGGCATGACCGGTTGGCGTGAGGTTAGCCTGTTGTTGGCATGATGTTACGATCGAGTGTTGGCGTGAAAACGCCTCTTCCCCTTTCCCCCCACTTCCTGCCCCATCAACGGTTACGTTTTTCCATTCTGCACGTTGGGAAATATTGTATTTGTTTTCTCTGTTGCTCAAATAAAATGTACAAAAAGGGGGGGAATTTTTTTTATCTGTGTTTAGTTCTTCAGAAGAGAGGAAGCTTGGATTACGGTTATTCCACCTTCATTCACAGTCGCTCCAATTTACAGTATATTCTGTAAAGCGCTTTGAGACGTCTTAATGATGCGATGAGGCACTACATCAATTGCAAGGATTATTATTTCCAGCACCTTGGGACATCTTCTCGACTTGAAAGGCGCTACACAAATGTAATTTGCTGTTGTTGCTGTGGACTTGTATTTTTTATCACATTCCCGATGTTAAACCATCTTCACAATAATTACTGTCCAGTGCCTTTTTTTTTGGAGGTGAATCTCACACCCAATGTTACACAATCTATAAGCTATATGTTGTCTTATTATTTATAGGGTAATCTGTGGCATTTAACGGAACCGGATTGTTAGTCAAGTGGGGGGGGAGGTGGGTTCGCTTTCTGGGGGTAATAAAAAATTGGTCCAAATCCCTGACTGTCCAGCACCTTGGGACGTTCCGCCCCCACCCACCCCCCCACCCCACCCACCCCCCCCCACCTCCCCATGTGAAAGGTGCTGTGCCAACGTCATTTTGTATTGCCCTCAATCCACGACTGTTTGTGGGGCCGTCGCTGAGCGCCATTGGCTGCCGTGTGTCGGCCACGAAATACACTTCCGTGTCGATTCGCTTCACGGTATATCCTGCGAAGCGCTTTGGGACGCCTCGACGCACGTGATCAGGCGCCGGGTCCCAATGGAAGAACATTGGCCCTGAAGGCTCCTCAGGGGACAGGGACCAGCGCCACCTGCTGCCCTCCGGCGGCGGCGGCCGGTACTGCGTGTGTGTGGGGGGGGCGGGGCGGTGACGTTCCGCGCTGCGTGCCTGGGCGGCGCGGTGACGCAAGGCTGGCAGCGTCCCGACGTCACGGCGCCGTGCCGGACGCGCGCGCGGTGATGGCGGCTGGGGCGCGCGCACGGAGCGGTGATGGCGGCCCCGGAGCGCAGGCTGCCGAGTCCCGAGGCCTTCGTGGGTCAGTCGTGGAGCAACTGGATCGAGCGGGCCGAGGCCCTGCGCCTGGGGGACGGTGAGTACCTTCAGCCCCCGCCGGCGCCGCCGCCACCCGAGCCCGAGGCCTCGGGCCTTCAACCGTCTGTCTGTGGCGGCGGCGGCGGCGGCCGGAGCGGCGGCGGCGGCTCCCGGGTCCTAGCGCCCCCCCCCCCCGGTCCTGTCGCCCGCCTACGCCGCCCCCCCCCCCCCTCCCCCCCCCTCCCACCACCACCCCTCCCTGGTCCTGGTGCCCCTCCACCTGTGCCCCTCCCCTGGTGCCCGATTCCCCAAGGTTCAGCGCCCTCCCGCCCCCCGATCCTATCCTCTGCCACTTGCCCCTCCCCCCCAGCACCACCCACCCCCTGCCCCCTCCCCCCAGCACCACCCACCCCCTGCCCCCTCCCCCCAGCACCACCCACCCCCTCCCCCTCCCCCAGCACCACCCACCCCTGCCCCTCCCCCAGCACCACCCACCCTGCCCCCTCCCCAGCACCACCCACCCCTGCCCCCTCCCCCCAGCACCACCCACCCCCTGCCCCCTCCCCCCACACCACCCACCCCCTGCCCCCTCCCCCCAACACCACCCACCCCCTCCCCCTCCCCAGCACCACCCACCCCTTCCCCCTCCCCCAGCACCACCCACCCCCCCCCTCCCCCAGCACCACCCACCCCTTGCCCCCTCCCCCCAGCACCACCCACCCCTGCCCCCCCAGCACCACCCCCCCCTGCCCCCTCCCCCCAGCACCACCCACCCCTGCCCCCTCCCCCCAGCACCATCCTCCCTTTGCCCCCCTCTCCTGGGTCCTGCTGCCCTGCCCTGCGCTGCCCTGCCCTGCGTGACAGGTTTGCAGCTGACAGTCACTACCCCACGGCTCTGCTGGAAGGTGTGTGTTGTCGGTCAAGTGAATCCATGTCGGGTTCAGGAGAGTGAACTGAGGTCAAAGCACTTATGGTGGGGGGGTGGGGGGGTTGACTTGTCAAACCTCAGATATTTGTCTCGTTGCGCTGAGGTGAATGTTTATCTTTCTCTCCTTGATGTCTGTCTCGTTCGTTTTCTCTGTCGCTCACTCACTTTCTCTTTCCCCACTCGCATTTCTCTTTCACTCTCTCGTGTTTCTCTTTTTAAATCTCTCTCGCATTTCTCTTTCTGTCTTCATACGTTTCTCTTTCACTCCCTCCCTCTCTCTCTCTCTCTCTCTTTTGCGTTTCTTTTCTAACTAACTGGCTCGCTTCCCCCTTTTTGTTTTGTTTTCTCCTGTTCACTTTCTCTCGACGCACTTTCACTTTCTGTCTCTCGCCCTGCCCTTTGCTGTTACCCAACTGACCGACCAGTGTCTGACAATCCAGACCAGAACGTGATGCCGTGTGGCCCCATCTCCTGCTTCTCTGACGAAAGCAAATAATTATTGTGTGTGTATGTCCCAATATTCTGCTCTCTGCCTCTCTGTTTGGCTCTTTTAAGTATCTTCCCGGGGTAGAGATGTATGGGTACCATGCGCCCTTTGTTTAGCTCACCCGAGTGTACATTATTCATGCCTGAGTGATATGGGGATGTGCCGCTCAAAGCTGGTGGCAGGAGATTATAAAGAGTGGTGATTCCGAGCAGTGTGAAGTCAGTATAATAATAATCTTGACACAGACTGCGAACGATCTCTCTCTCGCCACCCCCACCCCCACGTTTCCCTCCCTGCTCTCCCTCCCTTCCTACTTACTGCTAGGTAAACAGAGGCTTGTGGAATAAGGAAACTTGCCTAACGTTTTGCCCTAATGTTGTTAGAATTCCCATGGACCCGCCGTCAGAGACCAGGTCGGAGCAGCTCTCCCACTGTGCTGGAAGAAATTGCTATTTGTCCCGCTCGGATCTCTTATAAAGGAAACCCAATTGCCTATTGATAACAGATACAAATCCTGGTATCTCTGTCGCTCTCCTTTTCCCCTCCCTGAAGGCGCCTAGGTGTGGCAGCCTCTGGCTCAGGTATCCCCACTTAGCCTGGCTCAGGTCATAATAAAATAATAATAATCTTTACATTTGATACAGCGCCTTGCCTTTCATGTTGGGAGGACGTTTCAAAGCGACTCGTAGAATACACCCCTAAAGTGCAGTGATTTATGTTCTTTGTAGGCGAACACAGAAGCTAATCTGTACACAGCTACGTCCCACAAACAGCCATGAAGTGAATGAGTGATTTTATTTGGGGGGGGATTGTGAGCTAAGATCCATAGTGGGGACTCTCCATGAGAAAGCAGCATCCCTTTAACTTGCTGTGGTGTGGAGACATTCATCTATCACACTACATTGGAGAGGCATGTTAGGCTGTCTCTGTGTGTGTGTATGTGTTTGCATGTGCTCATGTGCTGTGTGTGTGCGCGCTGGGTGGGAGGGTGGGGGAGGGCGGTGAGCTAACTCACCAGGAATTTCACATGTGCACAAATATCAGGTAATAAGCGTGAGGATTTTTTATTCCAAATCTTCCAATGTCAGGGAGTGACAGCAGGCCTGGGAAACACTGCTCTGTCAGCCTGCTGGGGAGGGAGGGGGAGAGATAGGGGGTGTCTCCCAGCCGTAGTGAGCAAGCAAACAGCAGTGGCTTATGAGGAGCTGTATATCTCCATCTCCAGCCCTGTGTCTGTGATTGGGCCTGTATCTGATCTCTGCTCTCTCTCTCTCTCTCTCTGTCTCCTGTTCCAGACTCTTGCTGACTAACCAGCATGTGCGCTGAGGGAAAGAAAGAAGCTACGCATTTGATTTTTTTCTCCTGATTTTAAAATCTCCCAGCAGTTGTGATTTTTATTGCTGTACTGTGCCAAGCAGTGTGCAACTCAAACCCTTTGTCCAGTGTGATTTATTTTATTTTAAATACAGTCATTTCTGAAGCTTAGTTGTTGCATACTGCCTAGTGGGTCAAATAATAATAATAATCCTCGCATTTGCTATAGTTTATCCTTATCATGTCTTCGAAACGTCTCAAAGAGCTTCACAGAATATACTGTTAAGGGAATTGACTGTGTATTTTGTGGGCAAAATCCTGTTTTTACACATCCATGCTCAGTGTCTGGGGTTTGTCCTGTTTATTATGGCTGATATATCTTAAGCCCTTGTTCGCTTCTTCCTGGTTTTCTTCTCTAACCCCCTCCTCCCTGCACACACACAGGCGCTCCCCTCCCCTCCCCACACACACACACACACACACACACACAGTTCCAGGTTAGTCCCAGGCACCTGGAACTGTGTACCTGGATTGGGGTGCAGTGTAGAGCAGAAAGCAAGGGCACAAGGCAATCAGAAAGGCTAACTGGATGCTCAGCTGGGCTTAATAATAAGGGATGCGGAATATAAGAGCGAGGAAGTGCTGCTCCAGTTGTAGAGAACGCTGGACAGACCTGGATTGGACATTTGTGTTGAGTTTTGTGCACCAAGCTTTGGGATTGATATCCTCGCCAGACTGGGCGGTTTCCCCAGCGTTGATTCCCCAGATTGATACCTGGGAGAGTTAGGATGGGTAAATGTGGGTTCTATCCCCCAGAGCCGAGGAGGTTAAAGGGTAATCGTGTTTAAAATGATGAAAGGAATTGACAAACTAGATGGGGACAAGGCTCTCCTCTCCTCCAGCAGAGGGAGCGCACATCAGGGGAGATAATCTTACAATTAGAGCTCAGCTGGTTAGTTAGAGTGAGACGATGGGCTGTGAGGATGGGGAATGCACTGACCCCTAATGGTCCAGAGACACAGAATTGTTTGGGATGTTTCAAAGGTAGACAGTGTGTGTGGGAAACCAGGGTGGAGAAAAGACAGAGAAATGGGATTGAAAGATCTGTCATGATTTAATAAAATGGTGGACGGGGTTGGTGGACTGTAAGTCATTACAATGCCTCCTCCCAACCCCACCACCGATCTGTTTATGTTAGCTGATCTCACTTGGTGGGAGGGGTGGGGGGAGCAGTTTGGGTGAACCCCAGTCTCAGCTTCTCTGAACGTGTGAGCAAGTGAGTGAGGAATGTTCAGACAGATTTCCACTCCGGGTGCTAATCCAGTCTGCGTTACTGTTCCCCTTTTCACATGAACCCTCCCCCTCTGTCTCTAAACACCGGGTAAAAACTGCGCAGCCAAAACACGTGAGAGAAATCCCGAGGATTGGGATGATTCAACTTAAATCATTTTTTTTAGAAAAAAATGTCTGTAAGTGACTTGAACGGCAACACAAGTTAATTTGGAAATATCCCAATGCTTTTGCAGTTTCTCGCACCCGGGGGGGGGGGGGGGAGGGGTGGGAGGAGGGGGTGGGGGCTGTGCTGCACTACATTCCATGAGGGGGTGAGTGCTGGATGGTAAATGTTGTGCTGGTTTCTGTGTCTGTGTGTTTGGGGGTTCCCATCAGCTGCTACTAATTGGAGTCAGTGGCTTCTCCCTATGTGAAGTCTTTAATGTTCATCATTTTCAAACATCTGTTTTCTCTGAATTCAGTGTGTGTGTGTGTGTGTGTGTGCACCACAGTAGGTTCCTGCTCTTTTCTGTATCTTGCACTTTTCTGCCCTCTCCCTCTCTATGTTGGGGTCACAGCTCCTCTCCTGTGCCTTGCCTCCATGTGTTAGTCCGCCTGCCTTTTTCATCTCCACCCCACCCCCACATCGCAAGTTCTGTTTTCCTCCATTATTGTAACATTTAATGTTGTTTTTTCCAGGTCTGGAATCCGAGGACTGCGGGAAGGATGGGAGGAAAAAGATTGAAACAGTCAGACTGATCCGGGAAGGTGAGGAAACAACAGGAGTGAGTGGGGGGGATAAGTCCTGGCCTTTCTGCAGTAATTGTTATCCTGGCGACCATTAACCACTGATGTTTCAACTTCCTTTTAATCTTCTCTCTCCTCTGGGCACAGTTTAGGGGTGTCAGGTGTCTCTAGAGCCCACATAGTGATTGTCACCAGGGGATTCATCTATTGGGGGTATCACAGCCCCAATTGTGTCTTCATCCCCCTTCCCGAACTCCACACATTGCATCTTCCAAGATACGGGGGTGGGGGGGGTGGGGGATGCTCTCTGGATAGCGATTAGGAGCAGGGAACCCAGGCTGATTCACGCTCTGTCGCCCTGTCTGCTTAACCTCAGTTGAGAGCACAGTTTGAACAACTGGTGGATAAACACACTGAGCCATGGTGGGGCTGGGGGTGTGGTGGGAAGCTGTGTGTGTGGATCCTCCCTGTTCTCCACACACATATAACAGGAATGAGATAACAGCACAACCCGGGTATCGAACATATGACCTTCTGGGTGTCAATCACACACACTGGGCTTCACCCACTGACCCTCAGCCCAGCAGAATGCAGTGTTTGAAGTGAGTAAACCTTAGCCTTGTGATGAGCGTGTGTTAAGCAAGGAAGCTTACGGGTAAAGTGTAATATAATATCTGGAGTTTCTTGTTTCAATGTTAAAGCCTTTGAGAGAATGTGAGTTAGAAACCACAGTCACCTTCCCCAGCGCCAGCTGTGAGTGGCTTTCGGTTAACAAGACATTTGGTTTTCTAAGAAGTGAAAGTTCACAGCACAGAAAAGGCCCTTCAGCCCATCGTGTCCGAGCGGGTTTAACAGTGTCAATAACTAAACGATGCGTTGCACCCCATATGCAGTCAGCAGCCACATGGTAATAGTAATCTACCAGCAGGTCTCATGTGTCTCTACCCCCCCCACCCCCCCCCCCCACCCACTCCAGGCCAGGTTACTGTGTGCATTCCCACAGCAAGCCCAGGGGCTGAGCCCCATCGTGCCCTCACTCACCCGACGTCCACAACGATGGATGGGGGGAGACACGGGGGGAGGGGGAGCAAAGGGGAAGTGGGAGACTCGGGGGAGGGGGAGCGAGGGGTGGTGAGCGAGTGCTGAGGGTATTCCCGTCTGTTTTAGATATGCCGATCTTCGGGCACTGTCCAGCCCACGACGAGTTCTTCCTGGTAGTGTGCAACCACTGTGGGCAAGTGGTGAAACCTCAGGCATTCCAGACTCACTGTGGTGAGTATTTCCTGTGTCCTGTCCATCCCGTCTGCCTACAGAGTATAGTCACCTCACCTCACAGCAAATCCTGTCAAGCGCTTTGAGACATCCTCCCAAAGTGAAAGGCGCTGTAAACTATAAATACATTAACTCTGCCAGTGTGAAGAGCTCCGAGATATTACCCAGCATGAAGGGCACTGTATAAATCCATGTTATTGTTGATGTAAACTGTTGTTGTTGTTTTCTTCCTTCCTCCCCTCTCCCCACCCCCGGTAAAGCCTGGTTGATGTATGATCAATAAAAGTTGCTTCTGCCCTAAAGCAAGAATCCCACAATCACTCCCTTTATTTACTCCTTTGCCAGAGCGCAGACATGGGCCTTGGAACAAACTCTCAGCACGAAAACCTCCTGCCTCACATTTCACAAGCTCCACCGTGCTGCAGAAATCCCGGTCCAGTGTCACTCAGCCCGCGGTTACCCTGCCCAGGGCATCCAAAGAGAAGGTCCAACAACAGAGCTCGGCCAACAAGACAACCCAATCAGACGTGCCTTCAAAAGGACCCAAGGAGAATCTCTGGTAATTCAGGGGCCAATGTTTCTCTATCAGTGTTTTCCACTTAACGCTTCCAATGGTAACTGAGTCTGAGTAGGTGGCATGCAATTCTCAGCTTGGTTTGGAGACTCTTAAGCACCATGATAGGTTTCCGCTTGTGACAGACACCCACTGCCCAAACAAACCCTGAGCTTATTCCCCTTTTTTTTACCAATTCGCTGCAGTGGGACTTATTGTAATATGTGTTTCCCTCCCTCCCCTCCAGCTTGTTTGTTCCTGTGGTCAACCTGGAAAAGATCCCGTCTCTGGGAAAGCCGGACGGCTCCTGTATTAAGTTGAACTCCAAACCCTCTGCCTCGTCCCCCTCCTCCCCACTCCCCCCCATGGCAGCCCCAGGGGGCAAGGCAGGCTCTGCAGCAAGGCCGGGGGTAGCGGCCAGCATCAAGCCTGCCCCTACCCCACCATCTGCTCCAGCCACACAGAATGGCCAAGGGGATCTGTCCCCTGTGCTAGAAGAGCGGATGCTGAACAACAGGAAAAACAGCCACAAAGTGTACCGACGTGTTTTAGGTGAGTCTGGGCTTACCCCCCAATACTGATCATGCATCAGCCGCTGTTTGGGGAACAGACCTCATGCTTGTGTAATGCACATCCGAGCTCGGCTGCCACAGCCTGGCTAGACAGGCTGGGGGCACCTGAGACCTTTAACAGGAAACAGCTGTGGTGCTGTAACTTCTCCCTGTTTCTCTGCAGAGAAAGAATGCGAGCTGGATAAACACTGCGGAGTAATGGACCCAGAAACTAAAAAGCCTTGCACCCGCTCGCTAACCTGTAAGGTAATCTCTCGCCCACTCGCCTCCTTACACCTCAGGCCACGTTGTGTGTTTCAGGCAAATCTCTGGGCAGCTCGGCTGCCTCGACACGGGGTCCGTGCAGGTGTGTGCTGATAACCCACGGTCACTGCTGTGAGCCAGTCACGAGTTGATGTTGAAGTTTAAGTTCAGTTCATGTCAAGCTTCTGCATTTGTTGACACTGATCGCTTAGAGAAGGGGAGTAAAATGGGAGTTTAGAAGTGCAAATGTGGGTCTATTTTTGGAAGGGTTCAGTGTGTTGATACAAATAGGGGAGGGGTCCTTCGTTCCCCAGGGTTGTGACAGCCTATGTTAGATTGTGTCTGCTGGGAGCTTGCAGTGTCATGCCCAGCACACTGCATTTACCAAGAAACCCCACCCGCATACTGATGGTATGTTGACACGTCCATCTGTGCTGGGTTACCGATCTCAGCGGGTGGCAGCATGACTGGCCTCCGGGGCGGGGAATCAGTCAGTGTTCCTGCTCCTGATCATTCTTTCTGGGTGTCAGGTGGGGGCAGGGTTGGGTGGTTGAATTACCTGCTGACACGACAGTCTCTATGTCACTGCTCACACCTGAATAGTGGGTGATGGAACAAAACGGCTTTCCCAGGGTATGGGAAAAAAAGGTTCTGTCTCTTCTGAGGAGAGAGATGGAGGGGATAACATTGATGAAAAAATCAGTCTGATTTACTGTGTGTGTGTGTGTGAGTGAGCATGTGAGTGTGCGTGTGTGTGTATGTGAGAGAGAGCAAGAGCTAAGTATCAGTGGCGGGAGAGGCCAGTAATAAGTTGTGACAGTGAAGCTTGCAGGTTACGAATTGACCTTGTCTTGTTGTTTCAGACCCACTCGCTGACCCAGAGACGGAAGGTGCTGGGCCGGAGGCTGGAGTTTGACGAGCTGTTAGCCGAGCACCGGGCCAATACCAGGAGCAAGGAGGCTGCCAAGGCCGGCAAGCAGCAGCCGCGGGAGCCAGCGACTCCGGCACAAACACAGGAGATGGCAGCCACTGACTCGGGGCAGCCACTGAGAGAGTCCCCGAGCACAGCCAAGTCGCACAGCTGTCCAGCCTCAAGGTATGGTAAGCCTAGGCACTGCCGCGAGGTGCTGAAGACTGACATGTGGGTCAGGTTTCAACAGGTTGTGCATCGGGAGGAGCTGGAACGGGAGTCAGACGTGTAAATGCCTGTAGATTGTAACGCAGCCTGCTGTGCAGCGCTTCACATTCAATCAAGGCTATAGCTGTAGTGGAGGGGACAGATCCGGGCAAGTCACCCACAGTCACACCACCTCACAGTGTCGCCTGTGAAGCGCTTTGAGATGTCTGGGTGACGGATAGACCCAATGGGAGGAGATCATCATTGTCTTATCTTCTCATCACCCACTGCTGCCTGTTCACCACTAGATGGCGGTGCACTGTGTAAACAAAGAGCAGCGCCACCTGCTGGCAGGACGGGACCTTCCCAGCACCACACCACATCCCATCACTTTGACACTGAATATGGAATTGGAAGAATTTGTCCCATTCGCTCCCACATGAGGGTTATTATTAATCAGCCGAGAGCTAAATTGTTCCCTTCTCTGCAGTCGAGCTTGGAGCATTAGCACAGTCATCCCCACAATGTTAGCCTATCACAGGACACTATTTACGGACAACACCTTAGGGTTTGTGCATTGTTGAAACCAGAAACGTCTTGCTCTACATTCCCATCGTTTCTCAAAGGAATTCCTTCCTAACGGCCAGCGGGAGGGACCTCTGCTCTGGGAATAGAAAGCATTGAGTGTGGTTAGGATTTCACATTGAAGAAGATTAGACTCCAGAATTTATTGTGCCACAGTTCGGAGGCCGCCACCTTTTCATCCACTTAAAAGCGTCTCAATCTTTTTTTTTCCTGTACAGGTTTACATCAGCATGTGACGTGACAGGTGTGGGGTCAGCCCAGGATGAGCCGGAACTGGAAACCCCGTTCCCGCTGTTCAGGTTTGAGCTGGACACTCGGATATCCAGCGAGGAGAGCGAGGGGGAAACGGCTGAGGAGGCAGAAAAGTTGGGCTGTCGGTATTCCCGGCTCCATCCCAAGCCTATTGCAGTAAGTGACCATCTGTCCCGGGCACTAGTTGCTGACTCAGTCACAGCACCAATGACATTAGCCTGAGAGGGTCACAATATAACCAGCAAGTTTTAACAATAGAAGCGACAACACAGAAGGAGGACGAGAGAGACAGGGCAATGTGCAGCTGTGAGCTGCTAACACCTGCTGATAGAGCTCTGACAAAGCCGAGACGTGACCCTGTTTCTCTCTAACTCAGACGCTGATGGGTATTTCCAGCATCTCCTGGCTTGTGAGCATTTGCTTACAAACTACACTTTGCAGTAATATAATAATAATGATCCATGCATTTGACATAGTTCCTTATCACATCGTTGAGATGTCTCAAAGCGCTTCTATGAAACTCCTATGAAGGACTTGAGACGTCTTCCCAATATAGATATACAAAAACATATAATAATGTTTGTTTCCCAAATCCCCATCGTGCTTGATTGGGGAGCGAGGAGCTGAGCTAAGCCCTGACGGACTGACTGTCACCTCTCTTCCTCCACCAGTTTTGCACTTTTGGAAGCCGGATGGTTGGCCGAGGTTGCTACGCGTTCGACAGGCGACTGAATCACTTGCGCTCAGCCCTGAACTCCATGGTGGAAAGGCACCTCAACTCCCAGATGTGGAGGTGAGTTTCCAGCAGATTTGTTCTATGATTCTGTGACAGACGTTCGGATGCTGACTGCATGGGGGGCGCATGGGAGGAATTATCTTAAACTGATGACTATTTTCTTTCAAATGCAGGAAGATTCCTCCGGCGTCCGATTGCCAGGCTGTGCCGCTGTCGGTGCCCGCGCCCTCGGCAGCCTTTCTCTGCCCGCAGTCCCTCAGTGCCTCAGTGTCCTGTCTTCCAGCCACCGCCTCCTCCTGCTGCCCCAGTGCTGTGTCTGCCCAGACCAAGCCAGCGTCCCCCAGCCTGGCGGACCCCTCTCGCACTTCCACCACCACCTGTGCCCTGTCGGACCCCAGCCCCCTGTCCCCCCCGCCCCCCGTCCTCCCCCCGTCCCCGCCCTTCAGCAAGATGCCTTCAGCCAAGAGCAGCAAGTCGTCGCGGCTCAAGGAGAGCCCGCAGCCCGGCAAGCGGAAAAAGAACGCGGCTGCCTCCGTGCCGGAGCCTTCCCCGAAAAGGAACTGTGTGCTGGGAACAAGCCGGCCCGGCTCGGCGTCCTGCGCCGGCTCCAGCGACCGCTCCCCCCAACGCAATACCCCCCCCCACAAAGCCAACAACGGCATCGCCCCCCACGGCAACAAGGCCGGCCGCTCAGGACAAAGTGGAATCCAGGGACATTCAGGGAATTGTGTGAAAGGGACGGCGCGGACGGCAGATCGGGACAGTCGGCAGGCGGAGGGCCGCAGGCTGCTGGTGCCCTCCCTCGCGGCCACCCTCTCCCTGGCCAAGGCCGAGGGCAGGAAGAGAAAGAATACAGCCTCATACTCCAAACCCCCCAAAATCGCCAAAGCCCCCGAGCTGAGCTTCGTGCAGAGGAAACGGGAGGAGCAGATCCTCACAGCCACGCGAGCCCAGAACAACACTCACTCCCACAAGGTACAGCCCTCAGTGATGATCACCTGCCTGAGTCACAGGCCCGTCAGTGCTGCCTCGCTGCATGTTGTCCTGGGCTGAACCTCACTATCTCAGGCTGGTACCTCAATTGGAGTTGAGGTTCAGATCAGCCATGATCTAATAGAATGGCGGAAGAGGTTTGAGGGGCTGAATGGCTTACTCCTGTTCCTATGTTCCCTAACTATCTCAGGCTAGAGCTAGCCGAATAAGCCCTCAGCCATGTGAGGGGCCAAAAGGCTAACTTACTATGGCCGTGTAACACATTGGTAATCTTCCCTCTTTTTTTTTCTAGGCAAAAATGCGTCCTTGAAAGTGAGCCCCCGCCAGCTACGCAGCGTCAGATTGGGAACCCCCCTCTCCCCACCCAACAGCTCAGCTCCCCCTGAGCACAGGGTCCTCAGTCACACACAGAGAAGTGGAGAAAGAGACCTATATGAACTATCTTCGTCAGTACAATCTGCTCCTGATGCTCTCGACCCTTTTCGAGATCTACATGATGTTTGTAGCTGGAGTTTGGTAACGCTCAGCGTTCCAACCGAACAAACTCTAAACCTACGGAAATCCCTCCTCAAGCTTCCGGGAGCCTCCTTGTTTCCGGCCTTACTCTGCACTGATCCAAAACGCTCCTGAAGAGAGGAGAAGTGACTGGGAGTTGGATTGTCGTCCGTCTGAAGCTTTTATGCAATTAAACACCGTACAGAAGTGTGAGAATTTATCATCGGAAATCTCTCCAAAATTGGAGAAGGGAGGGGGGAAAGAGAGAGGAAATTGCATCCATACTCGCTGGAGATTAAATATAAACACATTTACCTCAACAAACTGCGATGAAAGGACACTGAAGGATAGGAATGGTTTGATTTTTCTTCTTTCAGAAGTAGCCGGTGGGAGGAAGGGGGAGGGGAGTTTCAGGGTAAAATTTCTTTTATGATTGAAAGTGGAAGAGGGGATGAGGAGAAGGAGAATCCTCTACCGTCTCCCTATTCCTGATCCCAAATCCTGCAGATCACCTCGGGGCTGTGTGGGGGACCGGTCGCCTTTTGTCTATGAAATAATTACTCCAGTTGACAGTAATTACCTGTGAGTGCTTTGAGGCCCAATGAGGTGCTACATATATATAATATATTGTATAATATATATGTGTGTGTGTGAGTGATCACTGCAGGATCTAAATGTTACTTTTAAAAGTCAATTTTCCAAACCAGGAGCGGAGGAGTTTTGAATCGCCCCGAATCTCTCCTCTTGAGTGTTGTTCTGCGGCACAGAGAGAGAAACAGACTGCGTGAAATTCCTGCACTCTTCCCCCACTGCAGGGGATAGGTGACGAGGAAGGAGTGGGGGAAGTGGGGTGGGGGCAGGTGTCCAATGTACTCACATCTAGCAATCATGTCTTTCCCCTTCTCCCCTCCCTCCCTCTCTCTTCTTCCACTTGATTTGATTATTCTGAATGGAAAAAGTTCCAAGTCGAGCCATTTCTAGCTCCCAATACGCTGAGCAGCATTTCCACACCGTTTGTCACTTGAAACTTCTACACAGTCAATCCTCTTCACAGTATATCCTATGAAGCGCTTTAAGACGTCTTGACAACGTGATAAGGCGCTGTATCAAATTCAAGGATTATTATTTTATTATTTGTGGTGGATGAGACGTGCCCTGTTCTCCCTTGATCCCACTCCGCACTTTCCCTCCGGGTGTCTATTAACCCTTCTGAGAACTGAACGACCTTTTTATTTTATTTTCTTTAAAACTTCAGACTTTTTTTAAGAAAAAAAACTATATAATATATTTTTTTAAAAAGATTATTTTTGAGTGAGTTAGTTACCTTTACTGCCAGGAGCTGTGGAGAGTTCGGGGTGGGAGGGGGGCGGGACTGGACGCGGGTTCTTGGTTCAGTTTATCTCAGTAATATTTGACAATTTCTCTCTTTCACAACGATTTTCTGTTGTCCTTCAGTGATCGAAAGGGTTAAATTATAGGAGAAGGGGGAGAGGGAAAGACCCCACAAGGGAACCTGCTATTGATATCACCTGGATTATGTTCCTGGTCTCAGCTGTACCCCCACAGGACGAAGCTGTCATGGTTTGAAGTTCACCACTATGGCCGTGTGTTTTTGTGTTCCACAGCAATGTGTTATTTTGGTGGGGGGTTGGAATGGGGATGAGGGCAAGAGAAGAATTTGACAACCACCTGCCTTAAGGAGCCAGTTCAGTCCCTAAGGTACCCAGCACAGGTTGCAGCTGATGACAGATCCTAAGTACCTATTGTTGTGGAGGTTGCAACTGCCAAGGTGTGAGAATGACGGCCACATTTCCGGGAATAGTTGTAAACTGTGTATTGATCGATTATGCAAATATCTTTTTGTATTTGACCTAGTAATGACACATTGTCTATAATATTTTACAGTTTTGAAATGGTCATATATTATATATACGTGATCAGAGACAGCCGATTCCAGACCAGACCGTTCCCTTTGCAGGGTTTGGCTGGTATCAGATGATGGGGGAATGTCAGCCAACCCACTCCATTCCACCGATCACAGCATCCAAATAGGATTGTTTAGTTTTTTTTAAAAAATTTGCAATCTGTTATATGGCTGAATAGGAAATCTCCAGTCTAATCCCACCTGTACCTCATTACTCCTAGAGTAGATCTACAATATACAGTGTGGTTCCTTATCAGTTGGGGAAGGAGCACCGAGGGTGACTTCTGTCCACAGCAGCCGCCCTCCCCATAACTTAATAACATAAAGAGAGTCAACAAGTAATTTGGGATTGTGAAAATTAAGGGTTATTTCAGGGCTAGGGACTAGTCGTGTGCTGCTGTGTTGAGACACAGTAGTCCAGACACCCAGCATAATGAGCAACTCTGTCAATTTATCATGTCGTCGCAGATCTTTCAATCCCTTTCCCCCCCCAAACCCGATAAAGACCTTACTTCCCAACTATCAGTCGATCTCCCTCCCTTTTAAACATCCCAATTAATTCTGCCCCCACCTCCCCTCCCAATCACAGCACGGGCAGGCATGGGTTCCAGCATGTTGTGTGTTGATCCCTTTCATCAACACCGTACTCCTAGTTGTCGCTGCTGGTGCTTTCTCAGTTCATTGGTTCCACATTCCTTCTATCATCTGATCAGGGCCAGAAAAGCCTGGCTCCTCCACTCCTGCTGGAGAGACACTTGCTTTAGACGATTACCTTATTATAACTAATATTTATGGGTTTTTTTTACATTGAATTTAGACCTGTTTTTGTTTTTATAAGCAAATAAATGTATAATTGATAACACCCGTACGAAATGGTTTGAATAAAGTTTCTGTTGTTTATCTAGTTTGCATCTCTGTTTGGTAAGCAATAGACGATTTTTAAAAAAAAATAAAGTTTATTAGAATTTTTCAAGATTGATTGCCATGAGTTCTGTCCATAATGGTTTTGTGAACACAACAGCTCAATGACGACACAAGATAAGGGATTCAGGTGTGGGGTTTACATGTTGGCTTGGAATGTGATGCGACTTACATATAACATGCCGCAGAGGTTAGGGCTGGTTGATGTGGTCATAAATAACATACACAGTGTTGGCTCAGCATTGCCACCAGAAGAGTTAAGAGGGAGAGTCAGAAGAAATTCACAGGGTTATCGCCACCTCACACCTGTGCCCATGTCACACCTGTGCCCATGTCACACCTGTGCCCATGTCACACCTGTGCCCATGTCACACCTGTGCCATGTCACACCTGTGCCATGTCACACCTGTGCCATGTCACACCTGTGCCATGTCACACCTGTGCCATGTCACACCTGTCCCATGTCACACCTGTCCCATGTCACACCTGTGCCATGTCACACCTGTCCCATGTCACACCTGTCCCATGTCACACCTGTCCCTATGTCACACCTGTGCCATGTCACACCTGTGCCCATGTCACACCTGTCCCTATGTCACACCTGTGCCTATGTCACACCTGTGCCCATGTCACACCTGTCCCTATGTCACACCTGTGCCCATGTCACACCTGTGCCCATGTCACACCTGTCCCATGTCACACCTGTCCCTATGTCACACCTGTGCCTATGTCACACCTGTGCCCATGTCACACCTGTCCCTATGTCACACCTGTCCCCACGTCACACCTGTCCCAATGTCACACCTGTCCCATGTCACACCCCACGTGACAGAATGCCTCTCCCATTGGCTGCTCGGCCTGTCAGTCACGCTGGCTCCCCTACGCACTTCCGGGGCGGGTCAGACGCGCGGCCTACCCGGGGCTTGAAGCCTGGCACTTTCCTGGAGCTGCCGCCGGGAGTGAGGGAGGATGAGGAGCCCTCAGCGGCTGCCCGGGCCCTACGCCGCCAGGAACTCGGGGTCGCGGCGCTGCGGTCTGGAGCTGTGGCTGCGCAGGGCGGCGGCAGCGGCGGCGCATCTCAGCGGCTTCGGCCTCAGCCTCGGCGGCGCAGCGCTCGGCAGACCCGGGTCCAGTGAGTGTGTGGCAGTGCCGTACAGTGCCGTACAGTGTGTAATAGTGTGTAATACAGTGTCTAATACAGTGTGTAATACAGTGTGTAATAGTGTCTAATACAGTGTGTAATACAGTGTGTAATAGTGTGTAATACAGTATCTAATATAGTGTGTAATAGTGTGTAATATAGTGTGTAATACAGTGTCTAATACAGTGTGTAATATAGTGTGTAATAGTGTGTAATACAGTGTGTAATAGTGTGTAATACAGTGTATAGTATAGGGTAGAGGCGCGGCTCCAGTGAGTATTTAATGCAGTATATACAGCACATTACAGCAATATATAATACAGTATATAATACACAGCACAATGTACACACTATATACACAGCACTATGTACACACTGTGTACACACTGTACAATGTATACGCCAACAATATACTGTATGTATACCACACTGTATGTACATACTGACATTACTACTACTATATACTGTATATTACACACACACAAGGTATATAATTTGTACACTGTATATACTCACACACAATACACTATATAATATAGGTATAAACACACACTGTATACCACACATATATACACGTATCGTACATAATAAATACACTATATACATCATATATACATATTAACTGTAATACTCACAGACATTGTATATAACATATACACACAGACGCTACACTTATACACCATATCTTTGTGATGTACAGTACGAGTGTCGCTCCTCAGATTGTTTGAATGTCTGGTTTTGTTTTTCAGGTCTCTTCTCCTGGCATCCCGCCTGCATGACCTTTGGAGTAAGTGTTTCTAAAAATTTCAACTAGAAATCACTCGCACAAGTTAAGGTTCATGCATTAGATATTAATAATAATAATAATCTTGCATTTGATTTAGCGCTTTTCACGTCGAGAGGACGTCCCAAAGCGCTTCACAGAACACACTGTAAAGTGAATTGACTGTATATTTGTGGGCGAACGCGGCAGCCAATTGCGCACAGCAATGACCCACAAACAGTCATATGGATTGAAAATGACCAATTTATTATTGTTGTTGGGTTTTGGAGGATTATTATTAGGCTCTGTGTGGAGTAAGGAAACTTGCCCGAGGTTTGGCCCTGACTGACCCCCCGGGGATTGAACTCAGGTCTCTCACTTGCAAAGCGAGTGCTCTAACCACTGAGCTACAGGACTCCACTAACTGATATTCAACTCCTGTTCACCTAACTCCACTGATATTCAACTAACTTCGCGAACATCACTGAGCTTAATTTCACTGTGAGACTCTGCAAAGTCTCGGTTTGCGGTTGTGTTTATTGTGCATGGTTGAGTAGATCCATTTAGTTTGGTTTCACTGATGTATTAAGTGAGGTGGTGACTGACATTTTAAACAACAATTACCTCTGGCTATGTGCAACACTCACAGGACGGTGATGTTTCAGACGAGGATTCGCTTTCTAAGAGCAGTCGTAGATTTGCTTTGAAAATATTTCTTTCAGGTTTACTTTCTACAGTATTAAAGTCAGGTTCTGCAATTGTTTATTTTTAATATATATAGTGAGCAGTGGAGCCGTACACACCTGGATGGGCGCTGGGGCTTAACTCCCAATCAGCTCTGAGGGAGGTGGGATAGCACCAGGCGCAAGACAATTGTACAGGATTGGGGTGTGCTCTCATCCTCGAACACCCTCCCCCGCCACCTTACTAAAAATGATTGCCCACAGGTGTGCAGTGAGGACAGAAACAGGCTTGGTTGCAGACCCTGAGGTTCAGGAGAGGAAGGGGCAGGAGAGAACAGACGGTAAAACAATGGCATTACCCTAACATTGCCCGCGTGTGTTCTGTTTTTTCCAGTTCTGCTTCTGTGTGACAGAGGCCATCCTCATCTTCTCTCCAGACAGCTCCCCTTTCTTCCTTTGCTCCTTCAAAGCCAAGGTGCGGATCCACTGGATCCTGCAGGTTCTGGCCACTCTGGCCTCCTCCACCGGCCTGGTCTTTATCTTTGCCAGCAAGAACGTCTCTGAGCTGCCTCACCTGACCTCGTGGCACAGCCTGCTGGGAGTGGGGACGATGGTGGCTGTGTGTGGGCAGATGGCATGTGGAATTCTGCTCCTGTTCCCACAGTTGATCAACACCTACTCAGTGACGCGTTTGAGGCTTTACCACGCCACTTGTGGGTTGGTGGCTTACCTCATGGCTACAGCTACGGTGATCTCAGGGATGTGCTCGAACTGGTTCCAGGCTCAGATTGGTGGTGTTCTGTGGTACCTGTGTGTGATGCTGCCCCTCGTGCCCGCCCTAGTGGTCATGCACCAAATTAACAACGCTTTCCTCTCCAAGAAGAAAATAGAGATCTAGCACCGTGGCGGTGGGTCAGTGATGGCCAGGAGCTATTTGCACGCAGTGGTTGTACGAGCTAAGCCTAGGGTGGAGCTGACGGCTGGCTGGGACTTTAGCCTCTTCACCTGGTCAACGAGTATCAGTGTGAAATCGATTTCCGAGTTTGAAGTGGAGCTGAAGAATTTGGAAGATGTTTCTTATTCCTGCTGTGTTGTGCTCCCATCACAAGGGGGTGTCCATGAACAATGTTGCCTCGACCCATCTTTTGAGGGGAGATCTCTTTGCCTCTCCCTGTTGGCTGCTCTGAGATGGGAAGTTGCCTCTGATCACAGTGACGGAGATTCTTAGTAACCTTGTGAATGTTTATATCTAACCGGTATTCCTCGCGGTACAAAGGGAACTAATCAAGCACGTGTAGAAATAGTCCATGTTTGTCCAAGTGTGTAATGGTGTTTGTGAAACAATTATGGCAGCATCTTTATCTAACTGTTCTATTTGGGGTTATAGATGCATGTACTGCGATTTCCCCCACACAGTACATTGAGTCCTGTGCGATCAGGGGGGAGTGCAGAGAAGACCCTCAGTTGCTTTTATGAGTGGGGACAATAGAGCCTCTCTGTAATCTCTCAGCCTCGCTGGGGGACGGAGGAAGAGAAAACGAGGTCCTTATGTCCTCACAAGTAGCAGCAACAGCAGAGCTGTGGAATCGGGAACTGGTCCAATCCAGAGCCCTCCTGAGAGTACAGTACAGTAACACACAGCATATCTGTTGTTAAACCCACATTAGGTACCTGTTTTGCCACCTGTTTTTTAAAATGAAAATGGGAGATATTTTAATTACTTTATTTGGATGATTCCGAATCACTTGTGGTAAATGAGCATAGAGATTTTAGGTCATTTTAATCAAGTTTTCTGATTAGCTGTATCAAAAGCTTTGTTGCTGAGCAAGTCAGCTCTGTCCTGTCCTTGTGAATAATACCTGCTGAATCTTGTGTGTGACTGGGACGCTGCCTCGCGTGAGGGGCGCTAGATAAATGCAAGTCCTTGTGTGTGATTGGGAATAGCTAAAAATGTGGTGAAACGTGATCTTTACTGTAAGGAGGTGTTTTATACTTTGTTTTTAATTTGGTTAGTGAACTTGGTTTGTGTGGGGTGGGGGAGCGTATATAGTGATTACAGTGTGAGGGGACATGTACGTGTGGTGTGTGTGCGGGGGGGAGGGACGAGTATATAGTCCAGCTAGTGTGTGGGGGGGAGTTTACAGTGTGTGTGGGGATATTTAAAGTTGGGGGGAGTGTGGGTGTACAGTATGTGTGTGGGGGAGGTGGGGGGTTTACTGGCTGTGTAGGGTCTGTTAGATCATAAACCAACTGACCTCCACTGACGCCCCAATCCTGACCACCAGAAGCAACGTTTGTTTCTGAAATTCCTTTATTTACTTGGGATTGGGAGCACCTGAGGGACTGAAATTCCATCTGGTCTTAGCCGAGCAACTAAGATCATTTTGTCTTTCAAACGGCTCACTGCGCAGAACTGTAAACATTCTTAAGTTCAGCTTTGCTCAAACTTAAATACCAGGACAGAGTGCTCCAGGCTAGGATCGGGTGGAATTTCTGGTCTCCGCACCATCGAAGTCCATCGAACCCTAAGTGTGTCGCTGAGGTTTAGTGGCAATTCCCTGCAGTACTGATTCCTCGCCACCGGAGGGTGATGTTGCACACTCACAGTTTACACGGCACATGGAGTTGTACACAGTTTTGCACACATTTGCACATGGCCCTGGGAACACTTGTGGTTTTATTGATTACAGTAGGACCAGCAATCAGCATCTGTGATCTATTCACAGTGTTGGATGAACTGCAAAAAAAAGAGAATAAGCAACTCTCAATACAAGCCGCACCTGGCACAGACATTCCTGTGGCTGCTGGTGAGATAGGAGTTATTTGGGAACAATCGTAAAATAAGCGAGTGAGTTACTTCAGAGTGAAGGCTGGTCTTTTCCTAGTTCTGGGAAAGATTGCACATTCCAATCTATGGGAATTCCAGCGCCGAGGGACATCCTCCCGACCTGAAAGGCACCACACAAATGTAATTTGTTGTTGTTGGATGCGTGGAACTTTCAGTCTGGTTTGGACACTCTAGATAACATGGTGATGGGTTTCCGCATGTGTCAGACACCCGACTGACCAAAAAACATCTTAGTTCAAACAAAAAAAACCTTTCAGATAGATGTGATGAGTGGGAGGAACAGTATTACAATGTGAGTGACTGAGGAACTGGTGAAAAGGAAGCTGTAGTTTTTTCTATCTATTAAATCAATGGCTATTTTGCTGTTAGAGAGCAGGGAAAGGCAGGCGTGTGAGCGCACACACACAGTATTAAAGTCCCCCTCAGAACTACTAGAGCCCCAGGCACACACAGTTTAATTTGTGTTCTGTAAATGAAATGTGACATGACCGGGTGTTAACATGCTCGACTGCACGGAATGCTGTAACCATCGGCTCCTTCAGAGAGAGAGAAACCCAGTTTGTTTCACTGTGTTTATCTTATATGTAAATGTGAGTTGGTTGGTTGTGTCTGTATCTGCACATTGACAATGTGCAGCCTTTCCACTCGTTCCCATGATTTGGCAGCAGGGAGCTTGGATCAGGTCAGATTCCCAGTGTTGTGTCGCTGTCTTCTCGATCGACAGCAGCATAAAGCCTTTTGATTGCCATGTTGATTCATCTCAACCTCCCAACGACTGTGCTGCCTCAGACGAAAGGAGTTTTTAATCCTGTTTAATTCGATCTCACATTTGCTGGTCTGGGAGCTTGTCCGGTCTTGTCCAATGGGATTCGTTGTGGGGGAGTTTTTGTGAACTGACGTTTTAATTATCTGTATGTTTATGTAACTTTGTGATCATTGTTCTCAGGGGGACAGAAGCACTTGAGAGTCCCAGGCTGTATTTACACAGTGATGTCTGGGATGGGAGGCCTTTCAAAGGCAAAGGCAGGCAGCACAGAGTCAATTCTTCATAAATATTAGGCAAGGATGGTCCTGGGCTGATCCTTCAGAGAGAATTGCCATCCGTCATGTCTGGATAAGTCTGGGCCAGTCTAACATGGGAATAACATGGGCAGAGACAGAGCTGCATTGATTGTCCAATAGACACTCACCTGTAAACTACAGACTCTCAGTATCCAGTTGTTAACCCAGGAGTGTGTGTGCCCTGCCCTCTCTGGGCTGATATCTGATGACAATTTTAGATTATTACAGTACAGGAATAGGCCATTTGGTCAGTCAGATTTGCCTGTGTGTTTTCGTCACTTGAGCCACCTCAAGTCTTAGTCTTATCTCACCCTCCCTGTCCATACCCAATTAATATGTTATTGACTCCCCCAAGTTTTTCCTCGTCCTGTCATTGTGTCCAGAGCAAAATTGCACTGAGTGTATTAGCAAAGGGAGTTCATTATTTGATGGCTGTCTCTGATGCTGTAATAAAAATGTTTTGGGTGTTTGAATGGCAGTGTGTTTTTGAACTGTATATCTTTCAGATTGGGATTTGGAGTTGTGTGGTTTAGCCCCAGCCTCTCCCAGGGGCTTTGAGTCAGACGCCTTTGTTCACTGAAGGAATACACTGCTGTAGGAACTGGATGGGCAAAGGCTAGTTTTAAATCTGGGAAACTGGATTCTAACTGATTTTAGATCCAGGAGAACAACTGTTAAAGCTGGACTGTGAGGTTCTTGCTAGGACAAAACACCCGGAAGTTCCCAGGGCTGATCCCTGTTTGTGCTGAGTTGACGGCTGGGAAGAGAACAAGCAGTAAGTGGGGGTGGGGAGCTCATGTACTTTGGATTCCAGACATCCGGAACACCAGGCAGACAACCGAAATATTGATTTAAGTGAACGCTGATTACACAATGTCCCTGTGTGTTACATCCCAATCCAACCGGGTCCTACTTCACAGTCTCTGAGGGTGAGACACCTATTTTATGACAGCAATATATGGTTCACAAGAATTAACTGTAAACACCCAGTGGTTTGGCCCTCAACAATGAATGATGCCGTGTGCAAAATAATATACTGCCTGTTTATGCCCTATGAGACTAGAGTGAGCTGCACTTCAGTGATAAACTGAGAGGCCATTGAGGTGGTGGGGCCTTACTGTGTGTAACATGATTGTCATGTTTGTCCACAATTGATAGCAATTGCCCGCGAGTGCTTCGAGGTCTGTGTTCAAATGTAAGGATTTTTTTTAAGTGCCTCGTACCATTACAGTGGATTTTATCAAATGAATTGTAATGATGTGTTAAAGTATCCCAGTGCTGGGAATCCAATGATCATCCGGACCTGTTTCAAAGACATGTGACATTCTCCTCCCAGTTATCCTGCCTTACAATCCCTCATCAAGTTCAAACCCAAAACTCCAAAATATTGGTGGCACCAAAATTAGCACTTTGCCCACATAATGATTCACTGTGTACCCAATTGATCTAATTCAGATGTTTCTGTTATGGTGACAAGCACCATATTTAAATAAAAATAATCCTTGCATTTGATGTAGCCCCTTATCACATCTCAAAAGTGCTTCATAGAAGATACTGTAAAGTAAATTGACTGTATATTTTGTGGGTGCAATGTGTCAGCCAATTGCCCACAGCAGTGTCCCACAAATAATTGTGGATTGAGTGACCAAATTATTATTATTATATAAGTGATAGATTGGGAAAAATGTATTTGATGTGTTAATTATATCACACACCATATTTTTTCCTGTTTTTCCTTATACAATGTGACAAACAGGTAGAAAGTAACCACAGACAAATCCTTTGATAATGTAAGGCAGCAGAAACAGAGGGCACAGGGTCAGGGGTATGAAGGGCCAGTCATGTGCAGATAGAATTAGTCCCAGCTGAGTTCCTCCTCACCCCCCCCCACCCCCCCTGTGGTTACCCAGCTAACACTCACTGCCAAGGTCGTGTATGACATGAATGATGGCCTCGGGGGTAAAGTGATGGATGGCGGCTGTGGAGCTTTCCTCCCGGCAAAAAGGAGAGGCATTAGGCACATGCTCAGGGAATGAGAACATGATGAAAGCACACAGGACAGCAGTAATGTGACTCAGCCCCCTCCCACGCCCCCCGCACACCCCACACCCACATCGATGGTGATGGAAGACACGAAGCACCACAGTCTGTAAGCAATCACCAAGACAAAGACTCTCAGCAGGATCAGTGACTTTGTGTCCGCATTGACTGAGCCAATGCTGTTTCTCTGGTAACGGCTCTGGCTGGTAACTCAGGTTCCAGCTGCTAGAGAGACAACATCTGGGGCTGATCAGCGCCACCCGCTCGCTCTGTCTAACAAACAACCTCGCCCTTTCTCCAATAACACTCCCGTCTCCCTCACAGCTTGCAATTTACCTGACTCCTTTATGAAGATGTACCACAAGGAATAGAATGGGTTACAGGTGCCTTTCAATCTTCACAAATCCCTCCAAGGGCAGGATTCTCCGGCACTCTACATACCACAGCCCCAAGTAAAGAGCTTTTCAATCTCCCTTTTCCCTTTCAGTCATAAGCCGGGAGGGGTTGGGTGGCGGGGAGTAAAAGGGATGTTTCGCAAACACAGCTCACTCATTGGAAAAAAAAGTCTCAAAGCACTTTACAAAATGAGATTAATTATAAATGTCATTACAGAAGCAAACAACAGCACCCACCCCCTCCCACACACACAGATGAGAGACCAAGTCATTTGAATTTGGGGTGAATTTGAATGAACAGAGAGTAAAACAGGGAGGGGAGAAACTCCACATTTCTTTAAAATATTAGTCAGATGAGGGGGGGCATAACATCCACCTGAATCACAATAATAATAATCCTTGCATTTGATATAGTGCTTTTCATGCCTTCTCGACGTCTCAAAGCGCTTCACAGAATATACTGTAAAGTGAATTGACTGTATATTTGTGGGCGAAACCCGGCAGTCAATTGCGCACAGCAGCGTCCCACAAACAGTCGTGGTTTGAAAATAACCAATTTATTACTGTTTTGTTTTTTGGAGGAGATTATTATTAGGCTCTGTGGGGTAAGGAAACTTGCCCAAGGTTTCGCCCTCTGCCGGGAATTGAACCCAGGTGTCTCGCTTGCAAGGCGAGTGCTCTAACCACTGAGCTACAGGACGCCGAAACAAGACATGGAAACTCACAGAAATAAAATCAGGTGGTGACGAGAAGAGTTGATTTTAACTTTAAAACCACTTTACGTTGGAAGTTATGTTTAAATGATGGTAAAAGTTTTTCTCAGAGAAATAAATAATTTCTGGTCTCGTGCCTTCACCCCAAGAGGCTGCTCTGCTTTGTGAGTGGGAACATTGGACACAGATTGCCTGCATCAGGCACGTGGAGTTCAGAGACCTTGTCACTCTTTCACCCTCTGAGCCTCACCAAAGGAATGTGGCTTGAGACTCCAGACTGCACCATTTCACAAACATAGAAATTATTTGTCACATCATAAATTTTTCCTGGAGTTGATTTTACAGAGACAGACACTGCACGTCACACGATGGTGTAAATCGTGTTGACGGGATTTACTTACCAACGTTTGGGGCTTTGATTTACGATGGAAAATGCTGCAGATTGAATTACGTTATAAATCTAAGGTGAAACTCTCCAGGAAATGTTTCCCATTTTGCCTGGCGGAGAGAGAGAGTGAGTGTGCGCGCAGGAAAAGAGGGAGGGAGAGGGGTTCAGCTTTAAGTGAGACACAGTGAGTCTAGGGCCGATGATTCAAGACATAACCTGTGACTTGTCACCATGCAAACTGCTGCCGTGTTTGACACCACATTGAATAATAATTACTGTGAAAGCGCTTTGTGATGTTTGGACGTCAGAGGCACAGATTTTTACACTGTGTATAAACGTGATGTGCTCCCGTCCACACGGCCTGAGGGACGGGCGACACAGGAGGAGAGCTCTGTGTAAAAACACACTCCTCTTCCCCAAACATGAAACTCAAGCTGTCCCAGTAACTATCTGAAGGCAAGGGTGTGTTTGCACGTGTCTGAGCCAAGAGTCACACGAACCAAAATCAAAGAAATGTCATCTAGGCACCAGGATAAATGTCACCCATATGGCCTTGTGTGGTGCACATGTACACACCGTTCTATTGTATAGAATTCTTGCTGACAGAGGAAACTTTCCATCCCAGGCGCCAGAGATGGGAGACCAACAAGTTACCATTAGCACAAAACACACTCAGAGACTGACTCTGACATAGAGTGTCAATAGTTTCCAACCTGGTTTAGGTATCTCTTTAAACCCTACCTTTATTTTAATTATACTGTATGTACACATTTATATATAGAGTTAAACACATTAAGCTATAGGGTACTGTACAAATCTTATACATTGATATTTACCTGGTTAAATACATAGACATCCATTGCAGATGTGTATGGCAGTGATCCATTCATCCATTAGGTGAGGAGGTCCTGGTTGTGTATCTGCCCTCATCTCCCTGAAGTTTACCCCAAAACAACTTTACGTTATCTCACATTTCCCCCCAAGTTACTCATTTTATCCAGAAACAACAGTGAGTTTTATTCTATCTAAAGGAAGTCAAAGGGAATATAAGGTCACAGTCCTTCGCAATGGCCCCAGTTTAGCTCAGAACCACAGTAAGTTCACTTCAGAGACTGTGTCTGCCTGTTTTTGTTAGGCTGTAAAGGGTGATATGTCTAGAGCATTGAATGAGGCATTGTTGGCAGCTGTTCACACCTTTGTGGGGAAGAATACATGCACAACATGAGTTCAATAAAGAAAATAGAGAGTATTGAAACCAGCACGTTGTCACACAACCCTGCATCGCTTCATAAGGGATCACAGGCCGTCGACCATCACCCTGGGGGAAGGGAACACTGCCACACGAACGATTGCCTACAGAACACAGCAGCACATGGATACGATGGCCATTCCTCCCTGGGTCTGGTGCGCTCCTCACATTCCCCATGTAATATATAGAGCGCAATGGGATGTTATTCCAGGTGAACAGCACTATAAAAATGCAAGCTGTTGTTGGATATTAGGTTAAAGTTGGTGGGTGGTGGGGTTTGGTTTAACACATCTCCATTGCTTAATGGGAGGTACAGAATAGACCAAGGAAAGGCACTGAGGGCCAATCTCACAGGGGACTGGAGTTTATATTGTTAATTTCCAACTAGTGAACTCTCTGCCAAATCCTTCCTGGTTTGAGACATCTCAACTCAACCCACCAGAGACCACACACCGTCTCCCAGCAAAGCTGCTCTCACTCAGTTCTCATGGACCCTGGACACTGAGAGCATCATCGCTCTTCTAACTGCTCGTTAGCTGAGCCACGGGAGCCATTTCATCAATCCAGAATGAATAATTTTCACTTTTATCTTTGCAAAATCTTTCCAAAATGTTGACAGCCTCCATTAACTCCCCTCCTCAATCTTCTGTTTTCCATTAAAAAAATAAATCAATGTTCCAAACCCATCCTCGTAACTCCTCATCCCTGCTTCCACCCACACTGTTATTAGTACCACAGCACCAGGGAGAAACATAGCAGCAGGCCATAGAAAATATACTGTTACTGCTCTCTGCCTTTGAGAGAGGACAACATACACAGAATGACAATTCATTGCTTGTAAAGCAGTGTATCTCAGCTAACACTGCTTACACTAGTCAAGTACCTGAATTCTGTAAGAATCTTTAACTGACTTTTGCTGCAGAGAATCAAAGAAGCAAAGAAAATGGTACAAATTGTGTGTGTTTGAGAGAGACTAGTATCACAGCTCTTCTAACAATACACACTATCTCACACACCGCTGGTATCAGTTCCAAGATTTATACACCATGTTGGAGTTTTTAATGATAGAAAAGGAATCAGTTAGCTGTAAGGTGGAAGGCTATCCCAGTAACTATGTGGGGTCTGGCTGAGGTGTGTGGTAGCTGTGTGGCACCTCACACATAGGGCACTCAGAAAGACACAGTGACGGCGACAGCAGTATGTTTATGGCTGATCCAGGAAATGCACAATTAAACCGCAGCTGACTCTCACCAGGTACCTAATGGACTGACGTATAATAGCGCACGAGTGGACACGGGGTGTACCAAGTTGCAATAGAGATATACACTGGTTTATACAGTACTGGGATGTGTTAACTGTAAGAGTGAGGGGGATACGAATGGTAGGTTAGCTTTGTTCTGTGTCTAATGTACACTGACGTGTATCGACTGCCATTATTCACACCGCCTGAAAAGATGTCAGTTATGATAACATCTCCTCACTATCTGTACCGAGTGAGTGATCAGCTACAGGCCTGCCCTGGTGTAACAGCACATTGTTACCCCCCACCCCACTCGATCAACATCAATTCGCTTTCCTCATAGTGTTAACCTGGATTCCACAGTTGCTGAGCTCAGAGGATGATTGTCTGGGACAAACAGCTCAGGTTCAGACACAGACTCTTATCCCTTCTCCATCTCACCCTCACTCAAATACATCCCAGATCGGGTCTTGGGCTCACGTCTTAAGAGCCAACAATTTAAGGAATAAATTGATAGGATTTCACTATAACCCTCGCTGTGCTGTTCTTCAGTTTATAATCTCAGATCCCTTCTCAACACAGACCGCCTGCCCCCTCCCTCTCTCCCCCAGCCCCTTCCCCCTCTCCCCCATTTACCCCGCCCTCTCTCCCCCAGCCCCCTCCCTCTCTCTCCCCTCACCTGGGTACTTACTAAATTATTACACTACAACAGGAGAGTCCAGGAGCACGGTGCTGAAGGACTCGGAGTCAGATTTCTTTCTGGAAGTCGCTGACAATCTTTTGTCCTCAAATTGCTCCACGGCGTTGGGCTGCACTTTGCCATTCTGCCCCAGGCCGCACCTGGCCGGGTCTATGAAGGCCACCCGCATATCCAGGGCCTCCTTCTCGGCCTCGGCCTGGTGTGTTGGGGTGGTGCTGAGTGAGGAGGAATGGATGCTCTCCTCCTGCTGTGTCTCAGCCTTCTTCCTGCACCAGCAGTGGCAGGGGGTGAGGTATAGATAGATGAGAACCAGCACTACGCTGGCCACACAACCCACCAGGGTGGTGTAGGCCGTGTTTAACCCCTCGTAGCCAACGATGGCCGAGGAGTTGTGGACCTTGAGTTGGACAGAGATGGTCTCGTTGAAGTGACTGCTGATGGCAAAGCAGGTGTAGGTGCCCGAGTCCTCAGGTCTCAGCTCCCTGAGCTGCAGGCTACCATTGGGCAGGACTTGGGCACTCTGGTTGCCTTGCCCAGCCTGGATGGTCTCATTGCTGGGAGTCATCCAGACCTTGGTCATGTTCCTCAGCTTGGTATCACAGTGGATGGTGAGGGTATCTTCCAGGAAAGCTTCCAGTTCTGAATCGTTCGGGACACTGCAGTTCATGTAGTCGCTCTGCAGGTTGAAGAGGCGGATGGACAGCTTGTGGTTGAGGGGAAGGACACACTGGAATTCGTCCCTGAAGTCCACAGCAGAGTTGAGCTGGCGAGCGTGCCATTGGGTGAGCAGGAGATAGAGCGGGCAGTCACACAGCAGTGGGTTGTCATGCAGGTACAGAGAATTCTTGAGGAAGGCTGGCAGGGAGTTCAGCTCCGCGATTGGCAGTGATTTGATCTTGTTGCCAGAAACATCCAACAGCTCCAGCTCAGGAGACCTCGTCTTCTTCACGACCAGCTCCAGGGGGAAGCGGGAGATCTGGTTTTGGCTCAGGTAGAGTTTCTGCAGCTTAGACGTCCCCTCAAAGGCTGTCTTGTCAATCTGTGAGATCTGGTTGTTGTAAAGCAACAACACCTCCAGCTCTTCCAGCTCATGGAAGTGCAACTCCTCCAATGTTCGCAGCTTGTTGGAGGACAGGTCCAGGTATCTGAGGTGCAGCACCCGAGAGAAGGCCTCCTCGGAGATGAAGATCAGGCCGTTGTGGCTGAAGAACAATGTGTGGAGCTTGTTGAGGTGGACAGAGGTCCACTCTGCCCGCAGGCGGCTCAGGCTGTTGTAGCTGAGGTCCAGGATGGCGGTGTACTCCGGGATGGAGTTGGGGATGGCTACGAGCTCCTTCTTGGAGCAGCTGACAATGTTACTGGCACAGATACAGTCCGGATGGCAGGTCAGGGCAGCCACGTTAGCCCAACAACCAAACAGGGCGAGAATGGTCAGTCTGAACCCCAGGGCACTGCTCTTCCACATTGTCAGGACTTAAGGTGGGGAGATGGAGCAGAGCAGAGAGGGGTAAAGCTTACCCAGCACAGGGGCGAGACACAGACTGCAGAGAGGATTTCCCAGGACAGGACTCTTGTGGTGGGAGACATACATCATCCAGCATTGTGTAGAGAGAGAGAGAGAGCCTGGCACCCAACCCAACAAGGCACCCACTCACCCACCCACCCACACACACACACACACAAAACCTGACACCTCAGCTCAATCTCAGTCCCTCTCCACCAGAATTCTTTATAAATAAATAATAATAAAAACAAAAGCACTGTTACTCACTGGGTGTTACTGCTGGAGCAGCTGTGATTCAGGGTTGGTCATTCTTTGCCCAATGTCCTGTACTGTCAGTGAGGGGCTGGGGGTGAGGATGGGGGTGGGGGGGGGGTCTGTAAGCGGTTACTGCTGACTGCAATAGCTCTGCGGTTTTCTCTCTCCCTCCCTCCCTCTCTCCCTCCCTCTCTGTCTCTCTCCTTCACTCACTCACTCACTCACTCACACACACGCACCAGCCCTGAAACCTCCGGCAGCTCTCAGCCCAGATGTCCTGCTCAGGGCTCGGAGCCAACGAGGCAGCACCGCAGAGCGGAGTGTGTGCGTGCGGTGGGTACCAACACACACCCACTGCATTAACGCACACGCGCGCTGGGGATGTCTGGCAACAAACAGGCAATAGTGGCAGCTCAGAGTGGTCCGCCAGGCACCAGAAGGCTGGATGATGAGACTGCGGTCGTTCTGGCTCTCTCTCTCTCCTCTCTCAGCCCCTGTGCCACTCTCTCTCCTCTTGCTCTCCCTCTCTCTCTCTCCTCCTCCTCTCTCTCTCTCCCTCCTCCTCCTGCTCTCTCCTCTTGCTCTCTCTCTCCTCCTCCTCCTGCTCTCTCCTCTCTCTCTCTCTCTCTCTCTCTCCCCCAGCCCAGCATTGGGCCACAGCATCGCCCATCACAGTGAGCGACAGCCCCGCATCGACTCCCTGCCAAAGCCATTGGGTCGAGTGCGCCAAAGTGTCGGCCCAATGAGAGCAGCTGCTGTTCCAGTGCGGAGTTAGTCATTTACTGTGGTTTTTGCTCTCACTGCGGAGGTTCGTGTCTGCAGCCCCGTGTCCCTGAGCTCAGCTTCCACAGGGCCGGGGGGGGGGGGCGTTTGGGGGCTACACCTACTCACTGTACCTTTCATTCTGCCACCAACACTCCCTCTCCACCATAGACCAACACACGCACCCACACACCCCCTCCCCCTCAAGCTGATGGTGGGACCTGTCGGGAGGACATCCCGAGGAAGAGTGACTCTGTCTGTCTCTCTATCTTTCTGTCCTGTGAAGGACTGTGTAACTTCCCGAGGGTGGGTTTGAGCTCAGGGAGAGAGTGTGTGATGGGGTGTTTGGAGTCCGGAGTTTCTGCAGTGTTAATCATTGCTGCCTGTCAGAGATTAACAATAAATCTGTCTGTGCAAATAACAGGGCGTTTCTCTTGGCCTCCAACACTCGGGAATGTCAGGGCTATAATGGAATACAAGTCCCTTGTCTCTGTCAGGGATGTGCTGCACACAGGGATTTCACACCCTATAATTACACAGACGACATCAAGGCCACCAGTCTGCGCCGCACAGCGGGGCCCAGAAACTCTGTCATTACTGCCTGAGCTGCTTCAGCTCCAGTAGAACCATACAATTATACAGCACAGAAGGAGGTCATTCAGCCCATCGTGACTGTGCCGGCTCTTTGAAAAGAGCTTTTCCAATCAATCCCACTCCCCCCACCCCACTCTCTCCCAACAGCCCTGATCAATCCCACTCCCCCTGCGCTCTCCCCACAGCCCTGCAAACTTGTCGTCTCAGCCGCAGTCGATCCTCTTCACCCCCCACTTGCACATACTCTCCTAACCCTAACCCTGCCCATACACACGCACACATACCCTCTCCTCCACCCATAAAGACCTTCTGAAATAAAATAGCAGGATTGTTACTGTATGACACACGCTCTTACTCTGAATCACTTCATAGCGCAAACTCAATATTAAACCCTCAAAATGCCATCCTAAGCAGCCCCCCACCCCAGCCCCCCACAGTATTGTCAGCTCCCCAGCACCCCCAGCTGCAGGATAAACTAAGGAGTGTCAGACTGTGGAGCTTTCCCTCAGTCTTGTTTTACTGTAAAACCAATAACTTTTTATAACAATAACAATAAATTTGCTATATCAAATGCAAGCATTATTATTATTATTATTGTAACACTTTTGTAACCAGAGAAATCCTAATCAATGGAGGCTACAGCTTTTGATTAATTACAACAAACAATCTGGTGTAGCTCACATCATCATGTTTCCTGCTGGGCAGCGAGGGAAGGAATGGAGAGGGAGAGAGAGGGCAGCCAGATGGAGAAACACCAACATTAATGATGATAATCCTGGAATAATTCCTGTATTTGATACAACGATTATAGCTGAACTGTCTGAAAGCGTTCCACAGAGAATTGCTGGTCAGTGTAGTGACTGTGTGCAGTATTTATCATTGAAACTTCCTCAAGCCTGTTCCACCATTCGGTAAGATCACGGCTGATCTGTACCTCAACCCCAATTACCCACCTTTCCCCCATATTCCTTGATACCTTGACCTAACAAATACCTATCCACCTCAGTCTTGAAAATGTGAATGTATCTAGACATAATCCACAGGCTATTGGGGGAGGGAGAGAGAGAGAGAGAGTTCCAGCTTTCGGTTGTGAGAGTATTTTTTGTTCCTATGACCCCACACTGGGTTCATCAGCCCTTCTATTCACACACTTTAAATAAAGCCTGTTTGATCTTTATCTCTGCTCTCTCACCTCTGCCTGTTGGTTGCCCAGAGTCTCTCTGAGCTAAGATTACAGTCTTTAATCATTGCTCCTCTGAATAAAGGCAGCCAGCCAGCTGGCCTGTGTGATTGATATTACAGGGTTTCAATCCTGCAGCTCAGGCCCAGCGCAGTGTCTGGGCTGGTTATTGTCGCCTGTGGTCAATCAGTCTCGCTGTGTCGAAGACCAAGAAAGGCAGTGCGGGGTCTGACAGTCACTGTGGAGACAGTCAGCCTCCTCTCTGTGCCCAGGAGCAGGTTGAAAACAAGAAAGTAATTTGAAGAGAAGGAGTCACACTGAGGCTGGCAGATCACATTGACATCAACGCCACTAATCGTTAACCCTCTCTTTTCCTCAAGCCACCGACTTGCTACAGTGTGATTTCACTGAGGGCTTCCAGGGCCTCAGCCTAATCGGCCTCTCACCACATGTCTGTCTCTCCAGCCAGGGAGTGAGCAGCTATTCTGATCAATCATTCCTGTCATTGAATGATCAATGGTTCTGATTGATGACTCTGATTGGCAGCTCTGGTCAGTGGCTATGATTGACAGTTCCAATTGATCATTCAATGTGGTGATCAATCGCTGTGATCGACGGTTCTGATTGATTGCTGTGATCTCAATGTCATAGGTTGCCTGTAATTGACAGAGAGTTGCACACACAGACACGACTGTGTGGCAAATGGGCCAGTGGCAGCTGTGGTCCATGAGAACCGTTTACTCCCATCAATAATAGTTACCACTTTCTGTGAAATTGTTGGATGATTGTGTTAAACGTAAACTGGAGACAGGAATAGCCCAGCGACCGGTCTCCACACTGTAATTACCAGGATGTGTTGTGACACCTGGAAGCTTGCTCATTATGGGGCTTTGAATAAATGTTTAGCCAGGATCTGGATTAACCCTTTTTCTCATATCTACAAAGCAATTGTAAAGTGAAATGTATCAGATACTGAGCTGAAGACAACAGATCCTCACATTTGATACCGAGCCTTTCACATGGGAAAGACGCCTCAAAGTGCTTCACGGGATACACGGGAGTGACTTTGTGTTTGTGGGACCTCATTGTGGGATGAATCTTCGTGGGTTGTTCGGGGAGTGTCTAACATAAGCACGGCCACTGTGTCACTCAGTAACGATCCCCAGACACCCAATATAAACACAGAGGATGTGGCACTGTAATGTAGGTTTATTTACAGATCTACAAATGGGCCAGTGGCAGCTGGGTCTTAAATAAAAGAGAGCATTTGTGTCCAGCTGACAACTCAGATCCATCAACTTGGTCACAAGGGTTTGGCATGGAAACTCCTCAGAGATCAGTGACACTCACACATACCCTGAGCCAAGCCCTGATTTATACACTTACCAACACATTCACACTCAGGCAGCCCTGACCAGGCAGCTGGTCATTCCAAACTTACAGCTCAAATTAACTAGTGAGAAGCAAGAACAAAACAAAGAAAAATTAACCTTTCGGAGCAGCTTTCATCAAGTCACAATCAAAGCTCTGGGAGCTCTTCCCAACCATTTCTGTGAAGCGCTTTGAGACGTCTCAAAGACGTGATAAGGCGCTGTATCAAATGCCAGGATTATTATTATTATTCATCTTGCATTTTAGACCTCAGTCTAGTTCAGAGAGGTAGTGTGCGGTTAGGGGGGTGGAATAAAGCACGGGTCAATGGAAACACTGGAATGCAGATCGCTGACTGTTTATAGAGTGTGAAACAGAAAGTTGGGATTATCCAGGAGTGGTTACTGTTACCTGACCAGAGCTAGATCAAGTGAGATTTAGCGCTGAGCAGGATTGGAATCAGTTTCACTGATACACTGAGCTCCTGTGTAAACCCTGCTCACACAGACAGGATGAAAACTTTAAGCATCTTAAGAGAAAGTAGTTTGAACCAAATTTAAGTCAGTCTCTCACCTGTCACTCTGCAAATCCCAGTCAAATGCTACCCTCACTGCACGCTAGCACTCTCACCCCATCAAACACCACATCCCATTCCCGTTCGACACTGCCCGCGAGCATGTGTGTTTCAAGTGCTCTGGGATGCTACCCTGCGGGAGGGGGTGCTGTATAAATAAATGCAAGTTGTTATTGTGTTTGCCATCATTCAGTTCCACACTTATTTGTAAGTCTGCATATTTCTGTATATGTTTGTTATAGAAGAGAATAAATGACCTTTTAAAAATAGGGGTGACGCCTGGTGCATAAATATAGCGCCCCTCACTCAGGGTAGGGTTCCAGAGGACTTTATAAAATCGTGCAGATCAAGGACAGTAGGTATTGATGCAGCCAGAAATGAGTGTAATGTGACCCCGGGTAAAATCT